AGAACTAAAATCTAATTAAGTTTGGAATCTAAACAATTCTTTTCTTATTGCTCAAGTAATTTCTGAAACAGCTTCTTTTACAATCTCTTCTTTAAAATTCAAGATTATACAATAATGAATCTTAATCCACTCACAAAACATGACCATGATGGATTAAATTACTTCGTCGTTCGTTGAGCCCACCGGAAGGGTCCGGGTACGTGAAAATGTCTACATTTTCCGGCTTTTCAATGTTAGGCCCTATACCAATTCTACTAAATTTTTGGCCCAGATCCAAAAATCATATGAGTGATCATATAGTAAATTTAATTTTGAAAAAGTGATCATATAATTAAATTTTGAAAGAAATAAAGAAACAAATAAGTGTTACAAACAAATTTACGCGGACTAAACTTTTCCGAGGGTCTTTGTTCTAAAGTATTTTCCGCGGTATTGCTCTTTGTGAATGTGATCGACAGATACGACTGGTGGGATACGCGTATTAGAGCGGTGGATATGATGATATTATTATACTGACATAAATATATGAATAAAGTCGTAAACATTGTTAACCATACATGTTTTCTTAACCCAAACAAAATTTTCATACTTTCCGTTATTTCTCTTAAATTTTGAAACACTTTTTTGACTTTTCATATACTTCCTCTGTTTCGTTTTAGTTGTCGTTTAAGGTTTTTTCATACAAATTAAGAAAAGCATTTAATTTTCTGTTTTACCCTTTATTAATATATTTTATAAAAAAAAATTCATTGACCAAAACATTAAAACAGTAGGAATAAAACTGGAATTTTCACCAAACATTTGCATTAAAAACCTAAAACGACAACTATTATGAAACAAAATTTAAATCCTAAAACGACAACTAAACTGAAACGGAGGGAATACAAATATAAATAGTACTCTCTCCGTTTTCGTTTTAGTTGTCGTTTAAGGTTTTTGCACACAAATTAAGAAAAGCATTAAATTTTTTGTTTTATCCTTTATTAATATATTTTATAAAAAAAATTATTGGCCAAAACATTAAAACAATAGGGATAAAACTGGAATTTTCACCAAACATTTGCATTGAAAACCTAAAACGACAACTATTTTAAAACAAAATTTAAATCCTAAAACGATAACTAAATTGAAACGGAGAGAATAGTAGCATTTTAGTTAACCACCTCAAAATTGGTCCCAGTCTCTTTCAGACAAGCTTGTATTAATCTATAGGATAATATTGGGTTGTAGAAATTGCGTTTGAGTTTCCTCGTCGGTTGCAAAGGCATTAATGAAAAGTGTGATACTCTTTCTACCAAGCATTTAAAGATTAAAATACCTGCATGGTTATCAACTCTTATTCTTTTCTTTTAGCTGCACATGGCTACTAAAGTATTTAGCTTCTTTGGTGGCCAATATGAATCTAAAACCAATTGATATTAATGCAACAAAAATAAAAAAATGGAAAACAGTCTTTTTTGACTTTCGACAATCTAATGTTAATGAGTTAATGCCTTATCTCGTTGACTTATGAATGAGACAAGAACGCAAAAATGTTTTTTTTAATTACATAAGCTTTAGACGAAAAAGCAAAAATCTGTTTCTTCTAAAAAAACAAGGGTGAGGCAACATGGCAAAGTGGCTAAAAACTAGGCGATGTCTCATCGTGATAAGGGATAATTAGCTACTGTGTAATCTGGACGACCATGTGCTCTTCCATTAATAAAAGGATCAATTTGTGGGAAAAAAAAAGAATTAATAAAAGATCATAAAAATGGAATCGTTCGGTAACATAACATCAGATGATCAGAAGCTTCTACATGTTGTGATTTGCATTTGATGTACTGAAAATTTGATAGTCTGTGAATTGTTAGACTCCTATCTTTATATTGCTCTGCATTATAGACCATCGTGATTCGTAAGAAGATAAACAAAATTAGCATCTTGTTATACATAATACGTAGATGAAAAACACCTTTTAAAAAATTAACTTGCTGGAAAATCAGTTTAACGTATAAAAAGAAGGGTACTTGTTTAGTTGAACAGTTGGTGAGATTGCGAAGTTTGTAAAGAAACGAATATAGCGACTTGTTCGAGGCCATTATCAACATTAAAGTCAAAGACATTGGGCTTGATCGGTAGTGTCTGTAGAAGCTGTGGACAGCCATTTATTAATCATACAGCTCTAAAACTAAACAATCATGCTTTACAATATTATTTAAAAGTTACAGCTAAAACAAAAAAATATTTGAATTTTGGCTTTACACAGCCAATTTTCCACAGCATCCAAAATAGTGCTTTTGATTTTCTCTTTCTTCTTCTAATCTTCCCACGTCCTCTTTCCAATTTATAATTAATTCATTTAATTTTAGACAATATATGTGATTCCATAATAATGAGTATTATCATAATACCATATATGTATATGTATATATTCTACAACATGATTTACTAATCAAGCTTTCAATTTTAAAAATTCACAGCCAAAATTATAAAATCACAGCTAAAAAATCTACAGTCTAAATTCTACAGCAAAAAATGTAAAGCTACAGCCACAACCACTATTTTTTTTTTTCTTAACAACAAAATGCACAATATTTAGGGACATATGTATATATTAAAATATTATATCACTAGGAGTATTTGATTTCCTTTAATTGAGGTAAAAAGAAATTCCATGTCTCGGTATTAGAACGTTGCAAAAGTGCAAACTCATAATTAGACCGAACGCGTGAACTTAAAAAAATATAGATTTCACCAAACCCTAACCACATTACTGTATTATCTACCCATCAATCTTTAAAATATTCACAAGATTTCACTTCAAATCTTCTCTTCTTTGCACTTTTCTCCGTGATTCTCTTCAAGAAGCTTCTTCCTCCTTTTTTTCCTCAATATTTATTTCTTTTAAAATTAATTTTCCATATATCGAAACCTCAATTTGCATATTCTTAGTTGTCAGTGATTACGACGGATTCTCTTTTTTCCGAGTTTTTTTTTTTATACTCTATTAAATTATTCTTTTTGATTCTCTCTTCGCTTTGCTTTGCTTTAAAGCGTTCTCCAAAAAAAAAAAAAAGAAATTGTGATTGGAGCGACTTTAATCGTCAATTTCCATTTTTTCTATTCTGGGTTTATCGGTCTTATTTGTCTCTTCTTCAAAATATTGCCAGATTAAGCAAAACAAAATCAGAAATTAATAAAAAGGTAAGGCAAAAATTGTCCTTGTAAATTGGCAATCTCTTTCTTTCTCTGGGTTTTTAGAGTTTGTTCTAGAAAATTTCCTCTTTTGGGCTTTATTCGTTCTGATTTTTCACCTGCAAACTTACACCTAAGAGATGCGATTTTTGATTTAATCCTGATCGATAAAGAGATTCGAATTTCTTCTGCCCATCTGGGTCTCTTCTTCAAAGGTTCTTATTTATCTCTCCTGAAATCGATTTGCATGTCAAGTTCGAGGATTTAACTAATCTCCCTTAAGATTTGCAAAAAGTTTCAAACTTTATTTTCTTCTGGGATTTTTAGGGTTCTTATCTCTGCAATTGCATGCACGTTACTTTTGGTGTCTGATTACTCTAATTACTTCGATTCATGCAGGTTTCTGACATGTTGACTCGACCCAGATTTTGATTTCATCTGAAAGTTTGGATTTTTTAGTTGGAGAAGAAGGTGAACTCTGAAGCGATATAGCGACAATTCTGTCTCTCTCTCTCTCTCTCGGATGAATTCTCCGTTGAGTTGCAAGAATCTGAGAGTCTTTTCAAAATCTGTTGCTTGCAAATGTCTTGTTCTTGTTGGTATTGCTCTGTTCTACAGAGCTCTGTTACTCTCTTACTCTCCCAGAAACGCTCTAAGCAATAGCTTATTGTTTCGAGCCCGTCACATGTCAGATTCCTCCTCAACTGGTGGAATTCGGACTGATAAGTTTCTCGAGGTTCCTCAGATCGTGTGGGGTCTAAACAATCAGAAGATAGCTTTTGCTAGAGCTTGCTTGACTGCGAGAATGATGAACAGAACGCTTCTCATGCCTAGTCTAAGTGCTTCCTTGTTTTACAAGGAAGTCGATAAGCTTCGTCCGATTCCGTTTGATAAAGTTTTTCAGCTTGAAAGATTCAACTCTCTCTGTTCTGGGTTTGTGCGGCTTGCTCGGTTCTCGGATGTTAGAAACAGAGCACAAGTGTTTGATCTAGAGAAAGGTAGTGGAAGAAGATGGACGGTTGAAAGAGACTTGGAACACTTGAAACAATCCGCTCGTAACGAGTCCATCGATGAGTTTGAAGTGATCCGTGTCATAGGGAAAAACCCGTTCTTGTGGCACGATCATTGGCCAGTTGAAGACTACGCTAAGGTCTTTGAGTGTATGGTGGTGGTTGATGAAATCTCAAGAGAAGCAGATAAAGTTGTGATGAAAATCAGAGAAGCAGGTGAGGCAGAAAGAGCGAAACTCAAATCCAAAACCGAAATCCCAGGTCCGATACCTTTTGTTGCGGTTCACATGAGGATAGAGATAGATTGGATGATACATTGTAAGAAACTAGAGCAACGGAAAAAGGTCTCAGAGATTTGTAGTTGTAAAAGAGAGATTATGGAGAGAGTAGGGAACATTTCAGGTTTAAAGACTCCAACAGTTCTTTACCTTGCAGTAGCAGATACTCTCTTAGAAGAAAAAGAAGAAGATTCATCGGTTTTAACGGGTTGGAGAGACGGTTTAATACCATTTGAGAAGAAGAAGCTTGGGGTTAAAGAGGAGATTTACGGGAAGTATTCGTATTTGCTTCAATCGGCTATAGATTACGAGGTGTGTTTAAGAGCGGATGTTTTTGTTGGTAATAGCTTTTCGACTTTCTCTAGTCTTATTGTTCTTGAGAGGACGCAGAAAGCGAGAAAGTTAGGGTTTATGAGTTCTTGTAAAGATGGTGAAAACAAGTGGAGATCGTATGCATATAATCTGGCTGGTGAATCAAAGGGAGTTCCAAGAAGATGGATGACGAATATGACTCATTCGAGCTTGCAAGCTATTAGCTATGGCTCAAATTCTGTTTCTTGTTCTAGTGGATGAAACTGGCATTTTTAGGTATAGTATTTTTGGCTTTTTTTTTATACAATTCGTTTATTTGTGGGGTAAAAAGTTGTGTAAATTTTACAGGAAAAAAAAACAATTCTTTGATCTTCTTTTTCATTTAGTTTTTCAAATAATCTGTCCTTCTGATAATGATAGGAAGAGAAAGAAAGAAAAAAAGCTAAGAAGTAAAATCTATAGCAATTCACGCTTATGGAACAAGGCATCTTTGCACAAACAACAATGAAATTTGCAAGTCTGGGATCTTTCTTCAGCTAAGAATTAACTCAGCTTTCTTGCGGTGTAGAGACGGAATGAAGCCAGCCCGGCGATCAAAGCCGCTGTCCCGACTGTTAAAACATTTGGAATCATGATGAGATACAGAAGCATTTGACCAAACATTTTGGAATCCAAGAACTGAACATACTTGAAACCGCCATTAGAGATCTGTTGATTAGCTTGCAACTCCTTTTCTTCTTTGACTCTATCGCTGGAATATTCAAATGAGGATGCTCTGCCGCGGTTAAGATCTTTCGAAATAAGTTACCGAAATCTCCCAGTTTAGAGCTGATTGGTATTGGAGCATCAATCCCTATATCTTGTGTAACCTGCAAAATTCAGTATATGACACATTAATCAACTTATGTTCACAATCATTATGAAAATCAAAAAGAAAGATTAGTATTACTCTAGTTGATTCTTGAATCGCCATTGGGAATGGATCAAGATCAGTTTTTGCTGCAACCATTAAGCAGGGAAACACATAACCAGCATCTTTGCCAATGGTTGCGACCTCAGCAAGCAAGTCAATGGCTCTGTTCCACGAGGACTCATCAGAAGAATCATAGATGAAGATAGCTACATCACAAGCAGCCAATGCTTTATTTGATAACATGAATCCATCTTCTTGAATTCGAATTTCCTTCAGCACCAGAGTTTTATCTGTATTTGCAACCACTCCAGATTCTTTAACCATATTTACAGCATAACGTTCATCTGTTGATCCATTGTTGTTGTTGCTGTCATCATCGTATGACCTTCCGATAAAATGATTGAGGAATGCAGACTTTCCAGCATTCTTGGGGCCAAACACAAAACACTGAACAACTTTTCTTTCAGATTTCTTCTCCTTGCGATCTAGAACTCGCTTCCTAGTTACGCGAATCGCTGAAGATGGATCATATGGGAATCTAATGTACATCAAATATTCAAGACTCCTAGCTGGATCTATTAGTGTCATCAATGACCACTGCAAAGACAGGTAAGTTTTCAAATCTTTAGGGTTAAAATGTAAAACTTTTGAAATGGGGTTCCTCTTAAAGATCGTTACAAAACTTGTTTTGATTACCAGTGAGAGGAAAGCTTCCAGAGATAATCCTCCATCCTTAGTTTCCTCTGTGACATCCTTATAAGGAGCTTCAGTCCAAGGACTGTCATTAATGATTAAATCAATGGACTTACACAGAAGCAAATGAAAGAACATTGTAATCATAAACCACGGTCTTTTGAAATGTCGAAAATGTTACCTTTCAGGTGCAGTTTCAAAGATGTATCCCGTTTCATGAGGTTCCAAGTTATTGTCCTGAAAAAATCAAATATGAAGTTTCGAATCTACCTAAAAATTAGAAAAAGAAGTATATATATACCTAAAAAGAAGAACTTACACAGTCATTATCAAAAAACTCATAGACTTCCCTTAAGAATTCAATAGCTACATTTGTTAGCTCAACACTCTACACAATGAGAAAAGATTTGACTGATCAGAAACAGCAACAAATATTCACAATGATGCCAAGAAAAAAAGGACTTCTATTTCTGTAGATTTTTTACCTGATCAGCCTCACGTTTGAATGATGAATAAGGAATCAGATCATCTCCAAGTCTTAGATCGTTATTGTACCCGAATTTCCTAAGCATAGTCCATAGTGTTTGGATTCTTGCATCTTCGATATAACGTGTGTTTAGAAACAAGAAACCATCCAATGTGAGTCCTCTTTCATTAACTCCTTGTGGAAACTTGACTTGCATAGCTTTTTTCATTTGGTTAATTTCACAAGGCACCAATGGTGTATCGAAGCATTTCTTCTGTTTTAAAAAGAAAATTCTAAATCAATAAGAACAATATGAAACGTAAGAGCTAGAGGGAATAAGAAAAAACCTGAAGCTCGTTTAACTCGGCGTCACTGAGAATACCATCCACGTTATGATCAGAGAGTAAAAAGATTCGTTTCAAGGCAGCGATACAGCGAGGCTTCAGTGAATTGGTTTCTTGATTAAACACAGGTCCTACTGGGTGAATAACTGCTTTTTGTGCATAGTAGAGTACCTTTGTAGCCTACAAAAGAAGCTTTTGAGTGATAAGAACCTAATTTAAAATCAAAACTAACCAGATTCATCACAAAGATCCAACTTCCAGTTCTTGAAATGCCTTAAGTTAAGATCTCAAGCAAAGCAAAGGGACCTGATTTAGCCTCTGAGCAGACCACTGGATAGATGTCTCGACCTCTCGATATCGTTGCATCATAGGTGACGTTATTTGTTCAATGCTGGTTTGATTATAAGCCTCTTTGCTGTCAACTTCATAACCTGCCACTATGATAGGAACTCTCACCTGTTCAATAAAAGAATAACAAGACAAAGTTTAATAAAAAGGTTACAAAACTTCAGGGCAATGAGCATAAACTCCACACTTTACTAATTACAAATTGATTGATGAAGGTGAATAAAGAGAAAAAAAGAAGCAAATTATGAAGGGACCTCTAATTGTCGAAACAGAGGAAGCCAGTGTTTACTCAAACGGTCAAGAGTCTCCGGTCTATCGAATGCAAATGTTAAAACAATTGCATCTGCTTGCTTAACTTCCTTAAGTACCTTTCCCTTATCTTCCGGTCTGCAGATTTTATCAACAGAGACATCAATAGTAAAATGATTCGATTTCTAACCAAGAAAGTGTGATTTAGTGGTTCGGGTTGAAGACTCGGCATGTGTGTCAAAAGCCAAGGATGAGTTCCACCTTCTACAAAAATTGTTGTAGTTCCCACTTGGCTAATGTAATGGAAAACATATCCGGCTTTTCTATAAAACCTCGGGGATTAGACCGGATTTAGGCCTAGGATTAACCCCGGTTATCGAAAAAATATGAAATTATTATTAACCATAAATTTTCAATTATCTCTGCCTTATCCACAAAACCTTATCAGCAAATTCTATGCTTAACCTTTTTGATGTCAATGTAAAGAATCAGGAGAAACATTTAATTACCTTGAAGAAGTGTCGATAACAGTAGCGGGTATACGGTCAGGGAAGAATTCAGAAGGTAAATTGGTGTAAGGTAACAGAGAAGGGATGTTTGGATGGAAAGTGTTTCTTGCTGCAGCCATAATCAAGCTTGATTTTCCACTGCCCTTCTCACCAACCACAACAATTCTTATCGGTTTTGGCGAGCCACTATAATCTCCCACACCCATCCACATTATCTAATATTGCAAAAACATCAAATACTTTCAGAAAATAAACAAACACTGATCATGTAAGACATTTGAGACTAAACACAATGACCAATGTCAAATTACTAAACATATATAACCCTGAGAACTTTAAAATTCTAGAATCAAGATTCAAAACAGAGGCAAAAACAGAGAAATAGAGCAGATGATCAGAATCTTACAGTGTCTCAGAAACAGTTTAGTAAATAAACCTAAGAGATCAAAAGGCGTGACGTTAACAAAGCTTCTTCTTCTTGTTGTCCTATGTCTTATTTTTCTTGTTTTTTCATTTCATCTATATTATATATTGATTAATTCTCATTAACCAATTGCAGTAATTTAGCCATGTGTCTACTTAGTGAATAGGTTTTGTTTTTAACGGTGAAATTGGCGTTTGTGGTAGAGCATCGGACGAAGGAGATTGAGGATCTTGACGTGGATACAACTGGTTTTCTTGGTATTCTTCTGTTTTTTCCTTTTTTGGGTTCAAAGCTTTTAATTGCATGCATTAATCCTTATCTTGCATTAAAATAATAATATCTTTTCTCGTTAGTATTTTAATTTATACAAACAAATTTTAAGTTACAATAAACACATAACAAATGGCATCAAATCTGAAGAACACAATAACACCGAACACAGAAGATATGTTGTTAGATATGTTTAAAATGGTTAATGGAAATTAATCAACACAATCATAATAAAAAAAAAAAAAAGGGGGCTATTTTTTTTATTAAGCAACAACCCATTAGAATAAACATGTTAGTAGTTCTGAATATTGTCGGATTTTAACAGACGTGATATATGCAAAACATGATATGTTAGTTTGATATATGAAAGACACAGAATAACGTGATACATAGGAAAATTATTTGAAAATGGCGGGACATCGAATTATGAATACGATACGAGTATACGAACATACACCCCCATCGCAAATTAAAAAAAAAAAGTATTAGATCAAGCCCATTGGGCCAGAGTGGTTCATTTTGAGAGCCCACTTTGTTCCTCAGAGTCAGAGAGCTGCGTGACGGACGAGAGAATCGGAAACGCGCATAACAACACATTAAAGAAGATGATGTCCGGCGAGAACAACACTATCACCGAAACCCAGAAAGTCTCTGGTTTTGTACCTGTAAGCTCTCATCAAATTCCAGAATTTTTTTCATATAACTGTGCGCTTTCGATACTTGACTTCTGACCTGTTGTTTTGTTTGTGACGGTCGTAGTCTGTTGTTCCAGATCAAGACCATGCCACCGTCGAATTCGCCGGTAAAAATGTAACATTTCCTGATATTTTCGGTTGCTTAGGTGGATTGATAGTTTAACATGTAGGACAGAAACGATTTGATTTAGAATTGAGTATGTTGTTGATTTAGCTAAGACGACAAGAAATTGGTATGGATTCAAAAAATATATAAAGTCTTTTGTTTGAATTCTGAGTCCAGATTCTAGTGTGACTTATGAATTTGTGTTCCATTTTAGGTGATTTTAGCTATTGGAGTTTTGTTTTCTATTATTTGACTTGTACCTCTCCAACTTTCTGAAATCTTAATGATTTTGATGCTTTACATCAGCAAACAGAAGCACATTGTCTTCGACATTATCGCATTGGCCTAATGTAATCGATACATCAAAATACAGCTATGACATACCTAGCTTATTTATTCATTAACTGTGTCGGCTAACACAATCATACGTTTCTTTAACTGACCACTTTATATGCTTATATTTTTGCAGACTTTACTTTACTTCTTTCCTTGTTTGTCGATTTGAGCAGCTGCGAACGAAAGGGACCATAAATATTTAACCCAAGCTGTTGAAGAGGCATATATTGGAGTTGAGTGTGGTGATGGCCGTCCGTTTGGAGCGGTTATTGTTCATAAGAACGAAATTGTAGTGAGCTGCCATAATATGGTTTTGAAGTACAAAGATCCAACGGCACATGCTGAAATCATAGCCATTAGAGAGGTAGTAATCTTCTTGGAGTAACAAAACAAAGATTATCTTTCATGTGGATTTTGCTAACACCTTATTCTAATTATATGATTTTTTTGGCGAACAAACAGGCTTGCAAGAAACTGAATGAAATTAAGCTATCGGAATGTGAGCTTTACGCATCATGCGAGCCTTGTCCAATGTGTTTTGGAGCCATCCATCTCTCAAGACTCAAGGTAATAAGAATGATCACAAAGTGAAATATGAAAGCTGAGTCTTTTTTCTTTTTGCTTCTTCTTTCTGAAACCTCGTCTTGATTACTTGTAAACAGAGATTGGTGTATGGGGCGAAAGCCGAAGCAGCAGTAGCCATTGGGTTCAATAGCATCATAGCGGACGGTGTGAGAGGCATTGGGTGCTACCATAAGTCTAACCTAGAGATTAAAAAACTCGATGTGAGTATCGCCGAGCAAGTGTTCCAGAATACAAAGGGGAAGTTCAGTATATAGTAAGCTCTTTTTCTTCTTGTTGTCATCATCTCTAGAAGAAGAAGAAGAAGCAGAAATGTATTTTTGCTAAACCCTTTTATCAATTACTGTTAATGTTGGCTTGTGTTGGCTTTGGTCCATTTAGAAATGTATGTATGTATGTATAAATACTTTCTTCTTGCAATGATGTTTCTACCATATATCAATTGTCAGATTTTGATTTATTATTGGTAATTTGATCATTGATACGGTTTAAACTTTAAACCAATGTCTGTACCAAAAATAGAGAGAAGCATCAAATCTCAACATAACGGCGATGTTAACGCCGTCATATTGACATCTGTTTAAACTCCCGAGGCAAAATCGTATGATCGCTTACGCATTTCACCTACCCAATTGTCTTCCCACAGGTGAGGATCCAAAACCTCAATCTGTTCGTCGGAGAGATGGGTGTCGATTTGGAATCGGTATCGGAAGCAACCTCCGGAGCCATTGGGTCGCTTCTGAGTACAACGATCTTATATCCTCTTGATACATGTAAATCAAAGTTCCAAGCCGAGGTTCGAGCTCGAGGTCAGCAAAAATACAGGTTCTTTTTCCTTCGAATTTGTTATCTTTATCCTTTGTTTGGATGCATCGATTTCTATAGATAGTGGGTCTCCTCTCCTTTTTTTTTTTGTAATGGTTTTTTTTGGTGATGTTTGCAGATATCTTTCAGATGTTATGTGGGAAGCAATTTCTAAAGGACAAGTCTTGTCACTGTATCAAGGCCTTGGAACTAAGAATTTTCAGTCTTTCATTTCTCAGTTCATCTACTTTTATAGCTATAGCTATTTCAAGAGAGTTCATAGTGAAAGGACTGGTTCTAAATCAATTGGAACTAAGGCAAACTTGCTCATTGCTGCTGCTGCTGGGGCTTGTACTTCTGTCTTGATTCAGGTACGTTTAATTTAATGATCTCTGAGATTAGCTATGTTAGTTTTTGGAGTTTTGTTAGAAATTTGAAGTCTTGGTGTTGGAATGAAAATTTGAGGTCTGGTTTGCTACACTATGTGCTATGATGCAGTATCGATAAATTAAGCCTTGAAACTTATCTTTGTGTAGCCTCTGGATACAGCTTCATCAAGGATGCAAACTAGTGAGTTTGGGGAATCAAAAGGGTTGTGGAAGACCTTAACAGAGGGTACATGGGGAGATGCATTTGATGGCCTAGTGATCTCTCTCTTATTGACATCAAATCCTGCAATTCAGGTAGATTTCTCATTTTAAAGCCATGAGCTACCGAGTCGGGTGGCTCACTTCAATTTCACTTGCCCTATCTCTATCTGCAAGTTTTGTTACCTAGACAACATGACTGGCTGAAATAGTTGGCTACTCTTTGCAGTATACAGTGTTTGATCAGCTGAAACAGCATCTTCTTAAGCAGAAAAACGCAAAAGCAGAGAATGGTTCTTCTCCGGTAGTGCTCTCTGCCTTTATGGCGTTTGTGTTAGGTGCGGTCTCCAAAAGTGTTGCCACCGTGCTCACATATCCAGCAATCAGGTATTACCTTTTGGACAAAGGTTACTAGTATCCTTGATTTCACCCTAGTGAGTTATTGTGTGGGTATACATTAAACTATCTGTCTCAGATAAACTTTTGTAGTAACATAATTTTGAAGACTCTCGCTGATTCAGACATCATATTGGGTTGAAATTTGCAGGTGCAAGGTGATGATTCAAGCTGCGGATGAGTCGAAGGAAAACGAAACTAAGAAGCCCAGAAGAAGAACAAGGAAAACAATTCCAGGGGTTGTCTATGCCATATGGAGAAAAGAAGGGATGTTAGGGTTCTTTAAGGGCTTACAGGCTCAGATCTTGAAGACTGTTCTGAGCTCAGCATTGCTGTTGATGATCAAGGAGAAAATCACCGCAACGACATGGATTCTCATTCTAGCTATCCGTAGAACTCTGTTTCTCACAAACACAAAGGGTAAGTTGAAAAGTCCTTGAGACTCTGAAAATCTGTTTGCCACCACCAAGGTTATTTCACTTCCATGTAATTAGATGATGAATGTGTGTAATAAAAGTGAGATATCTTTGCGTAGAAGAATCAAAGAAAATGAATTAATATGAAACATTTCTTAAGAAACTCAAATTTAAAACATTATGGTATTTGATTGTTGAGCAAATCTCAGTTAGTTTAATGTGAGATATCCTCCCAAGTCTTTTTGCTAACATTAAATTTAATATTACCGTATTTAAAAAAAAAATAAACTAATGAAAGTAAAATAAAGAAAGTATAAAAACATCTAGTGGGACGATGCTTGTAAATGAAAAAGAAGTTTTTACCCTCTGGTTCCCGTTTCAAGGCCGATTTCGTTTCTTTAGAGAGCTTCGAGACGAACGTGAAATCGGCACAAGATGATGTCCGGCGGGAACTACACGACTATCGACAGCCAGAAAGTCTCTGGATCTGTACCTGTAAGTTCCTTTCAATTTTTCGCTTTCGTCCCTACACTGATTCTTCCGATCTGATCTAGTTTCGTATGTCTGAATCGTAGTCTGTTCCAGATCCAGGCCATACCACCGTCAAATTCACAGGTAACATTCTCGTCTTTTCTGAAACTTTCGGTTGCTGAGGTGAATTTGATAATAGAGCGTTTTGGGAAAGAACGATTTTGATTTGGAATTAGAGGCCCTTTTTTTCTTTCGGACGTAAGACTATGTTGACCTTAGCTAAGATTACTGCAATTTGTTAGGTAATGCTATAGATTCTGAAATCGAACTCTAGTTTGAACAGAGAAGGGTTTCGCGATTAGAATTTATTGTTTAGGGAGAAAGAGTAAGTCTTGCAAAATGTATTTCGTTCTCATTTAAAGTTTTGATTTGACTTGGTTAAGTTGTGATTGAGGGATGCATTGTTTTTGCAGAATCAAATCTACAAACTTTTCCTCCATCTGCTACTCAGGGCAAGATCTCTGGTGGTAGTAATCCCCCTCGAGATGCTGACGGTAAGATTCTCTCCCGTTAAGAATTTCTGAATGTTGATCAAGTAGATTGAGGAATTTAGATGTGGAAACGTGTTCATCGACTGGTTTCTGTTGATTGCTCGGTGTCAGTCTTTGTAATTCTGTTTATCTTATGGTTTATAGTATAAAATTTGAACCTGTTGCAGATACATTTTCTGGGCATGGTAATGGTAGTACAGATGAACCTCAGTCTGGTGGCTGGCTTCATAAATTCACTGTTGGTGCTTACAAGCCCTTCTTTGATGTTGACACTTCGGATGTTGTAGAGCGACTCAAGGAATCTCTTTTCCCATTCCGTGGAACATTTACAGAGAAGACAGCTGATAAACCTGACTTGTAAGAGTTGTGTCTTTTCTTATCATTTTTCAACTTTGAGGGGATTTTCTATTTGGTCTCTCAAACTTGGCCAATGTACCTCAAATGGTCAAAATTGATTATGTTTGCAGGTATGGCCCATTCTGGATCTGCACCACCTTGATATTCGTTGCAGCATCTATCGGCACATTTGTCACATACATAGCACACAAATGGAAGAAACAAGAATGGAACTACGATATCAATCTAGTGACTTGGTCTGCAGGAGTGTTCTACGGATATGTCACAATTGTTCCTCTAGCATTATATGTCGTTCTCAAATACTTCTCTGCACCATCAGGCCTCGTCCAGCTCTTCTGTCTCTATGGCTATTCCCTTTTCGTCTTTATCCCAGCATTGGTACCAAATCTCTCCTAAAAAGTGTGATCATATCGAAACATCTGAATATAATGAGACTTTTGACATATTCATCTGTTTCCAACTCTGCAGTGCCTTTCGGTTGTCCCAGTGGAGATTTTCAGATGGGTGATCGCGGGTGTAGCCGGGTTCATGTCTGCAACATTTGTGGCTTTGAACCTGAAAGCTCATATCAATTCCGCTGGAGAGAGATCGATCCTGATTATCGCCAGCATCTTTCTTTTGCAGCTCGCGCTTGCGGTCGTGCTGAAGCTCTACATCTTCAATGTCAAAGTTTGATTCATTAAAAAAAAAACTGAAACTTGATCTTTATAGAACAAAAGGTAATGATTTCTGATATCTGTAGATGCTATAATAGTATAATGTTTCTCCTCGAGAGTTATCCAATTTTGTACCGTTTGGAGACTGTTACATTTATTTACTCCATGATTTACTTTGTAGAAGATAGTGTAATAACAAATCGATTTGTAGGTGCTGTGATGTTCAAACTTTCAAAATAATTTGAAGAAGAAAAAAACAATAGAAGGATTGATTTTAATATTATTTATTTATGAAGAAAAGAAAATGGAAAAGAAATAAAAGCACCCTAGAATCTTGAATACTATAGGGTCTAACAAGATTTGTACGGATACGGTTGGGTTCGCTAATATCTTCCTTTCACTGGTACATCTGACAATTCTGTAAATATTCTTCCACATTACGTCAATAACCAGTTCCGAAACATCTTACGATTTTTCTCTTTTTTGTTTCTTCTTTTAGTATTCTTCATTCTATGTTAAATATTTGTTGTTTTTCAGTGTTTGGCTGTAATAGTAATGTCGAATTTCTACACAAAATAAAAGAAAAAATACAAAAAAATATCAAGTATAATAGCTACACATTATCTATCATGTGGGTCTCAATCATCGAGACTTCCACTTTTTAATTTTTTTTTCCTACTCTCTTTAAAAAAAAAAAAAAAAATTAATCAATCTGTTCTTTTGTGAACATGGTCGTTGAATATCGTAGCCAGATTCACACAAATCTTCTTCCTTCAATTATTTCAACTTCTCTTGGCGTGAGATTTGAGGTATGTGATGTGGTGTTAAGTTAGGTACTCTGTTACGTTTGTTCATCTTTTACATATTAAGCAATCAAAATCACCAAACATTTTTTTTTTTCTTTCTGAAAATTGATTGGGCGTTTGGCAGAGATTTTCTTGTTGGGAAAAAATTGATTTTTTTTTTTTTGTCAGAGAGTGAATTATAAGTGAGATCAATAAATTTTGCCCCATTTTTAAAGCTTTCTCCTTTTATTATATATTTTAGGTCGCAACTAAATTGGAGTTAAAGTCTGCTGTTGAGATTGTTTCAGATGAGTTTGGTCTGAATGTTTGGTGGTTTTGGATATGGACCGGAGGAGCTGGTTATGGCGGAGGAAGTCATCTGAGAAAAGTCCCGGCGAAACTGAGAGTACTGGCTCTGTCTCTTCTCACTCTGAAAGATTCTCAGACGATCAGGTTACACTTTTTGCAATGCCTTTGTTTCATCTTTGTTTCTTTTGTGGTTTTTTCTTGTTCTTGGGGTGTTAGAATGTAATCGCAACTCCGAGAAGATTAGTTGTTGTTTATGTGGTGCGCATTGCTGAAACCTTGGTCTTAATCGTTTTGATTGTGTTTGGTGTGTAATGTGTGTGGAACTTCAGAGATCTCAATCACCGGAATTAATATCTAAACCGGTAACAAGAGAAGAAGAGGCAACGGCGGATATCAAGATTCTAACGGAGAGGCTCTCTGCAGCTCTTTTAAATGTCAGTTTAAAAGAAGATCTTGCTAAACAGCATGCTAAAGTTGCAGAGGAAGCTGTCTCAGGTTTGTTGTTATTTTTGCTGTCACATTTCTTTTTAGCGGAAACCGAAATTAGTTTGCTGTAAATGAACGAATGTACATGGGAATTTTGCTTCATCTAGGTTGGGAAAAGGCAGAGAACGAAGCTGCGGCTCTGAAGCAACAGCTTGATGCTTCTACAAGCAAGGTTTCGGCTCTTGAGGATCGAAATAGTCATCTTGATAGTGCGCTTAAGGAATGTGTGAGGCAACTCTGGCAAGGAAGAGAAGAGCAAAATCAGAAGATCGAAGAAGCTATAAACAATAAATGCAAAGAGTGGGAAACTAAAAAATCTCAACTTGAAGCCCGAATTGAGGAGCTCCAAGCTAGACAAGACGTTACCACTGCTTCTGTCCACGAAGACCTTTACCCGAAACTTGAGGCTTTAGAGAAAGAGAATTCAAGTTTGAAGCTTCAACTACTTTCAAAAGCTGAGGAGGTCAAGATTAGAACTATAGAGAGGGACTTAAGCACTCAGGCGGCTGAATCTGCCAGTAAGCAACAGTTGGAAGGGATTAAAAAGTTGACTAAACTTGAAGCGGAATGCAGGAAACTGAGAGTCATGGTTCGGAGATCCGACAATTCTAGTGAGCTCAAATCTTCTATAGATAACCAGTCAGACTACTCCGGGAGAGTTTCTTTTAGTGATAATGAAATGCAGAGCCCCTCTGAGAAGACTATTGGGAAAACTTCAATGGCTCCTTCAGTAGACATCGGTTTAATGGATGATTTTCTCGAGATGGAAAAGCTCGCTTCTCTGCCGCATCCTGAACCTGGAAGAAAAAATTCAGAGAGTAACAAGGAATTAGAGAAATCTAATGCTCACGTAAACCAACTAAAGAATGAATCCAAAACCTCGCTTCACAGAATTTCTGAACTGGAAGAAAAAGTAGAGATGGTAGAGGTAGAGAAATTGCAACTGGAGATGGCTTTGAATGGATCCAAAGAGCAAATTGAGGCATTGCAGAGTCGGTTAAAGGAGATAGAGGGGAAGTTATCAGAGATGAAGAAACTAGAGGCAGAGAACGAGGAACTAGAGTTGTTATTGGGTGAATCAGGAAAGCAAATTCAGGATCTTCAAAGACAGTTAAACAAAGCTCAAGTGAATATGTCAGAACTAGAGACTAGAAGAGCCGAGAAGCTGGAACTGACCATATGTCTGAATGGAACGAAAAAGCAGCTTGAGACATCGCAAAATCGGCTAAAGGAGACAGAGAGAAAGTTAACAGAGCTTCAAACTCTGCTACATCTAACAAAGGATGCAAAAGAAGCGGCTGAGGATGGTGTAAAGGCTGCAAATGAGAAAACTGAAGCGGTTGAATCAAAACTTAGAGATGTCGAAGCAGAAGCGGAATGTTTGATCTTGAAAATCAAGTCTCTGGAAGATGTCACAGAAAAGGAACGTGCTTTATCAGCAAAACACATTTCAAAGTGCAACGAACTGCAAGATGAGATCTCCAAACTAAAACAAGAACTCGAGCATCATCAAGAAACACAGCCTGAGCCTAACCTTATGAAAGGTTTTGAGCTGAAGCAGGTAAGCTTCTCCTCTCTTCTGAATGCAACATTACATAATACTGATCCATGGGCATATACAGTTTTAGAACCTCTTAGGGACTTGCAAGTATATTTCATTTTGTTTTAAAAACTCCTTCATGACAATGTGGCAATGACAGGAGAAGGAATTAGCAGTAGCTGCCTCAAAATTTGCAGAGTGCCAGAGAACTATTGCGTCGCTGGGGCAGCGATTACAGTCACTGGCTACACTTGAAAATTTCTTGATTGAATCTTGAGGAGGAGCTACATCTTTCCCCATGAATGCTGAGAAGAATCGATAGACTCTAAGATCTGGATGATGATGAGCAGTTGAATCTCTGCGTTGGAAATCTCATTCATGAACATAAGTGTAGAGACATGAACAAAAAAAGTCTCTATATACATCAGAAAGTAAGGCTAAGAGCCAAAACAGGATTGAGATTATTTGTCAATAGAAACAATGGAAAGAACAAGATAACATTTCTTCTTTCAATTATATAAATTATATCCATTCAGATTCTATTGTTATGTTAAGGTCAAATCAAATATATAAGGGATTAAGTTCCCATCATCATCATCACTATCTGTTACTTGTAAGCCCTTGCCTCTTCGTGCACATTATAAGCATCAGAAATCTCACCTTAAATTCATCATATCCTCAAATTCTTTAATGTTTTTGGTTATTAGCGAAAAACAGAAACAACATGGATGGTTAAAGAATGCTCTGTTATGTTCCGTTTTGTCCCATAAGTTATCAAAGATAAATTGTTATGCAATAAGGACGATAAGGTAATTGTTTATTACCGTTGTGATCAATTTCCTTTTTCTGCAGTCCAATTAATTAAAAGGAAACAATCTAAATCGTCTGAGAAAAGGAAACAACAAACTCTTCAAAAAGAAAAAGGAAACAAACTCAAACCCTTTCCTTATATATACTCGTCTCTCCGAGAAATCAAAATCACTCATTCTCTTTGTTGTAATCTTTCTTCTTTTTCTTTTTGATACGTGTCGAACAAACTTTGCCAATGTTTGATCGCCAATCTCGTGAAGCCGATCGATGATCCATGTAGAGCCACTCTCTGCAACCAATTTATCTGCGAAACTTGCCTTGTTCCTTGAGAAGAAGATCGATCGTCACGTTTCTTAGATTGATCGCCATTCTCTGTTGTGCATTCGATATCCTCTGACTACTTCTACAGTCAAACCCTAATTTCACATGATCTCCACCGCAACACTTTCACCGTCTGCTAATGATGCGAGGAAGAAAGCAGGAAAAGAGGGACAGTGAAAGCGAAGAGCATGTAGCAGCTTTGGAGTTTCGATGGCTGGACAGTTGAAGTTGAGTTCCTTGATTGCACCTGCACAAAGAAAAGTGAAATCGATGAGAACAAGACGAAGAAGAAGCAAAGGTTCGTGATTGAAGGATGTCGAAGAAGTGGAAGAGAGAAAGACAGAGAACAAGGAAAGAAGTTGGGCTTCAAGTGTTTGGTCTTAAGAAAAATATTGGGCTACGTTTTGGTTAAGGCCCAAGAAAACGATGAATCTGACTCACCAAATCCAGGTATGTTGCTTTCTCAATCATCTAAATTTTTAAGTATAAGAAGTATTTTTTAAAAGAAGGTTTAAATATCATGTTAATTTTTCATTCCGTTAAAAACCAACCGAACTTAGCATCCGGTTAGAATCTCTTTAGATCAGTTAGAGGTGTTAAGTTCGATTTGTTTATACGTAATTAAATTTTAACATTTATTTTTAGATTTTCTTTTTAATTAAAAACGTTTTCAACTTTAATTTCCGGTTTTATAACTAAATTTTACTATTTTTTAAAAACAAATTTTTAAGGGTTTTTATTATTATTTAAACTAGTACTTTAAATAAATATTTTTGAGCTTATATAAATTTTTAAGTATAAAAAGTAATTTTTTTTTAAAGGTTTAAATTTAAGTGTTAATTTTCGATTACATTGCAAAACCAATCGAACTTAGCATCCGGTTAGAATCTCTTTAGATCGGTTAGAGGTGTTAAGTTCTTTTCGTTTACTCGTAATTAAATTTTAACATTTACTTTTAGATTTTCTTTTTAATTAAAAA